AGGGATTTTGGGTGGGCTGATGCATCCCAGCTTAAGGTGACCCCTGGGTAACAGAAATCTTGTGTTTTCCTGAAAATATTAGATCAGCAACACCATGAAACCTCAAATACCTAGCAAAGGCACCAAAGAGAACAGGAGTGAGACTTAACCCATCAAACTTCCACTGTACTTCATCATCTGCAGCACTCCCCTTTCTGGCTTTGTAGTTTTGTTTCTACAGGAATAAGTCAGGGCTTTTCCACACAGAACATACAACCTTTTGGCATGTAAGATATATCTAGTCTGAGTCTTCATTAAAAAAAAAAACCAAAACAAAAAGTCAAAAGCTATTAAATTCCCCTTTTTTTGCCCCCCTCCTTTTTTTTTAAGTGAGAATAATGAGAATGCTCCTACTATTCATCACACCTGAAAATACCATCCAGGTGGTTAAAAAGCTGCCAGGAACATAAACCCTGTTTGTCACAGGGTGACATTAAAAATCTGTCAGTGTACTCTGAAGTCATACCATCACCCCAGCATCTCATGTACAGATTTTCCCGGGATGTTTCCACAAGGACAGTCTGGTGGCAAACCCCAGGTGATCCCTTTATGCAGTCAGTGAGTGCAGGTGAGCTGGATTTGGTGGCAACACTACAGCCAGGCATTTGTTGGGAGACCCACCATCCTGCCCAGCTGCACTGCCCAATATTTATATAAATGCTGGGCATTCATATAAATGCCTCCTCCCAACTGCTCTGCAATATGAGTTTCACTTCCAAGTCCCAGGCTTAAGCTCACTCCTGAACTCCTTCCTTTCTTCACCACTTCCCTCTGTCCCATCCAGTCCTTTAAACAGTGTCACTTCCCCCACTCCACTAGGATTTATTTTTACTTCCCTCCAACATTACTGTCCTCAGCTTGTCACACGTGAGCCACAGACAGAAGCCAACATTCCTCAGCAAGGAAAGACCTCTGCAGTGCAAGCACCAGAACTGATCCAAGTGCCCTGCACACACCCTCCCCAAGCCCATAAAAGCAATCCCACAGCGACACGATAACACAGCAGCACAGGAGCATCCCATCTCCAGAGCTCAAGGGATACAATCCAGTGTTTGCAGGAATTAGACCACAGTTTGCTCTCCCCTGCAGACTCGTGTGCAATGCACACCCAGGCTGACCTGGCCATCAGCCAAACACAAGCCCACTGGATTCAGGAAGAGGAATGGTCTGGCTCCACTGTGGAATCTGTCCAGCCATTTACCAGTTTAGCTGAAATTTAGAAAATTTAGCCTGAATTTTCATACCATTCACAAAAACCAGATGTTGCTATCTATGTCCAAGCTTCCTTATCCACTGAGGTACATTTCCACACATCCACAGGATCTGCTCAGCTCTGATGGAAGAACTCCTCGGAAAAGCCTCCAAGAGAGCCATGGCCTACATCCTCCCCTGCCTTAAAAACCTCCCAGCCAGAAACACAAAGATGTGGGGGAATTTAAAGCATCTAAATACAGCAGCTTAAAATACTTCTGTGCATCTGCTTTTGAGCCTTTCAAAGACCGGGTAATCTTCACCTCTGTCTTGCCAGAGCAGCCCATGAATCCAGCTGGGAGGAGGACAAGCACCACCCCAGCTCCCCTCCCTGCACCCCAGGAAAGGCAGCACAACTCCAGCCCCCACAGAAACTTCCTTCTTACCCCAACTGTCAATGAAGGCATGGAATTATTGCAAGGCAAGGAGGCAAAAGCTCTCAGACAGCTTTAGTCTGACAGGCTCCAGCTTCTCCCCAGCGCCTATTGTCACACACCCACAGGGAGCCATCGGGCATCTCCCGCCTTCAGCACCTTCAGACCCAAAATTACATTTATTCAGCCTTAGTGTTCAACTCTGCTAAGTCACAGAAGTGACCAAGTAAGAACTGCTGTGTCTTGCCAGAGTCAAAACAGAAGCACGACCAGGGAACAGAGGGGGATTTAGTAGAAATTCTCTGCTGCCTCCTGCTCTCCCAGAAATTCCAGTACTGTTGGACAGCAGGGAAGACCCACTGTCACATCCTACACCCAACCGTGTTTAATCTTTTATAAAAACTTAATGCTGTTAGCATTCAGCAATCTGTCTGCATTTCCATGCTCCTCACAACCCAACCAATGCAATATCCTGTATTTTCTTCAGTATTACTACCAATAAAAGCAGAAATTAATGATTTGTCTCATGAAACCAGAGACAGCAACAAATAAAAAAAGCTGAGAATACATGTGTCACAAAATTAGTAAGATTTATCACATATTTACTAATTTAAAGTTATTATTGTTGACTGTGAGGTCTAAGTTTCTCCCATCTTTCCTCATACATTCAACCCCACACCCACAATCCCACATGTGAGCGCTCCTGCACAAGTTTCTTCATCCTAAAACTCCCTGTCTTCTGCAAACTATCCCATTGCAGCTTTCCCCTTCTCAGCTTCTCATCTCCCTCCCCACTCCTTTATGCAAAGCTGGAACACTGTCACTGCTTTCTCAATCCACAGAACATTGTATTTTCAAGGCCTTGCCCACAAAGTATATGGGAAACAACCAAGCACAAAGAACCCGTGCAAGAAAAACCTGGATATACAAGATGGGAACTTTGTACCCTGCTTACATAAAAAGGACCACAAGCCAATAAGCACCTGCTTGGTGTTTTAAGAAATACTAAGCATCCATGTATTTGTTCTCTACCCAATAAATAAACTGTCTTTATTCTTGGCCTCAGCGTGATCAAACCAAAACTTTGGACTATGCATTTTTCTACATCTACTTTTTGCATTACAAATCAGCTTGCAAATACAGAATAACTGTTCACTGGAATTTCAGACTGCATGTCATTTCTTCCCTAGCAAATGTTTCACCCATTACTTATCTGGTGTTGTTACACACAGCCAAGCAATGCAATTTTATTTTTTTTTTTTTTCAAAAAAAAACTCCCAACCATTACCATGCTCCAAATCCTCCCTCCTGCATTTCTCAATACATTATCCAATTAACCACAAACCTGGCACTAGAGCAGAGTGATTTAAACATGCACTGATTCTGCCACGTTTCAGATGGGCATTATTTCACTGGAGGAACAGGAGCAAGGGAGAGAAAAGCCGTCAGAAATTTCCTTCCAAGGAACAAGACTCAAGGAACAGGATTCAAGGAACGCTATGAAAGCCAAATTCTTGAGCCAGAAGTACATCAAGGGCCTTTCTTCTAGTATGTCACTGGGGGCATCACCCTGACCACCACAAAATGCCAAAGCTTTCCTGCTGCAGGGAAGCAGGGATTGTATGGGAGTGCATTGGCAGCACTGCCCTGGCTTTTACAACCCTCAGTGCCCTGTATTGCATCTTCCTGCAGAACCACCAAGCTGCTTTCCCTACAGGACTCTGATCAGCTGGGGGGGAGCAGAAATATGTTCATAGCAGCTGGAGACTCTTTTCTAGATGCACATTTAACTACCATTATAAATAGAAAAGCACTGACTACTTTTAGGACAGAAACAAGTTCTACAGTGACCTGCACAGATAAACGAAATTAAACACTAAGACCTGATCACTGATTCCACTTCTGCTGAAGTATGTGAGCTCCTTCCCTTACTGCAAATCAGCTTGTGCTCTGGTACCATCAGACTCAACTAAAAGATGCCAACAACTCCACCTGTTTCTAATTCAGTAAGAGAAGCACTTCAGGATTTAAAAGCTACTCATTACTACTTAGTTTTTTAAGATTTTGTTACAGATTTTATAAGATCAGTGCTTTACCCTAAACAATTAGTCACAGCCTGCCACAGAACTAATACTCAATCCTTACTTTAATCATATATGATGCAATACCAGGATGAGATTTTAAAAAACAAACAACATGAGCGAGATTTGCCTTTAGATTTTCACTCCCCAGCTTGATGGTAACAAGTTCTGCCGTTCTGGTCAAAAGCAATAAGAAATTGTACTTTTTAGCATGTGTGCCTGTCCTAAAAAGCTACAATGACATTTTGAGACTTGTGTTTATTGTCAAAATAACTACAGATAGTTTGGTAAGTTTTCAAAGGGTATTAACTTCTCCCAGTCATCCTGCAGATCCAGCTCGGATCTGAGACTCGAGCTGGACTTACTCATGCAATGCTGCTGCTGGTCACAGAGCCCAGCTGCCTCCTCTGACGCTGATACAGCCACACATATCCAGAAATATTAAGGAAGCTGTCAAGGAGAGCTGCACGCTGTGCCCAGGGGAACATGACGCTCCTTTTCCTGTTCCCCAGCAAAACGTTGTTTTCCTGGTGAAGGTGATGGTGACACCAAAAACTACAAACAAGACAGGACCACAGGACAGCAGGTTACCTTCCCAGTGCTGAACTGATTCCCATCACACAACTGCTTCCAAACGGGAGACGCAGCTTTAACTCGAGGGCAACAGTATTTCTCCAGTGACTTAATTTGCATTTATTGCCACAATATTCCCTGTTTGTGAGGATCTGTTTTCTCTGTGCACTGCAAATCAGACACGGGGCCATCTTCACTCAGTGGCAAACCCAGGCAGAAATGCTGTGCCAATTCCACAACTTCTTTAGGAAATGCAGGCAACCTTTGCTAGAGAAAGGGGTTAATGTTCAGCTCTGTGCCTTGCAGGTACAGTCTCAAGTGAAGAGCCCCGTTTGATACCTGTAGGAAGCTGCCATTTTTGCATCTCATATTCCATTTGTGAACAGCCCTTTTTGTTCTTTAGTCCAAGTTCTGAATTATTTAATCCTGTCTCCAACACTTGAAATTATCTCTCCCTATAAACAAGAGGTTATTTAGTGAAAGGAAATAAATAATTTAAAAAGTCAGACCCTAAAGTGTTCCTGGCTCTGTTTTTAATTAATATTGATACAATCTTGAGAAACCTGCTGCTTAATATCACAAGGCAGGTCGAAGCTCATCAACAGTTAAACTGTCTCCTTTCAACAGAAGGTGGAAGAGGAAGTTGGGAGCTGCCGGGTGCCAGCGATCCGGGACTGCCCAGTCCCAGCTCCTCACAACTTTCCCATGCACAAAAACCAGGGCTTCAAAGCCATTAGAGCCTGAGCTCCACGAGCTGGAGCTTACAGGGCTCAGGTGGAACTGTGTTAAGCATAAATCCTTCGGGCTTTTGTCCTGGGATAGAGTAGCGGAAACACAGACGTAAGTATTTTTATTTTCTGTAATTCCACGCTCAAAATCCGCTGGTACAAATGAAGGACAGGCAGGGAGGGAGGCATGGACAGTTCTGTGGGACTGAACTTCATACCCAGTAACGATAGTTTTTATAGCATATTGCTTCATCTGCAAGTGGGAGTAAATATTACACTACCTCTTCACGCAGATGGGTGGGTAAGAAGGAAAAAAAAAAAACAAAAACACAACAAACCCAAAAAGCTAATTTGAAACAAATTAACTATTCTGCATATGGATGAAGGTACTTCTCTACCTCCCTGGTCACTCCAGGACTCTGCAGACAGACCGTGTGCAAAGTTAATAAACTCGGTGCTGCACAGATTGCCTGGTGAACCTGCCAACAGGTGAACAGCCTCAATCCGCAACGGGTATAAATAATCACCAGCCCTCAAAAGCAGGTAATGAATATTGTTCAAACAACTCTAAGCTGGCGTTACCAGAACGCTTCAAAGGAGAAGCTACAAGCTGTTCAAGTCAGACTGTCACATTTAGTCTGCAAAAACGAGATTAAGGTTTGCACGGTGATACTCCACAACAGGTTTTACAGTATGCACAGAAATTAAATTATGATAAAAGTGAGCTATTTTTTACCAAAAACAGAAGAGAACAATCTATCAAAATGCCATTTGGCTGCGTTCATTACATTTTAGAATTTAATTTACATGATAGATACTTTAGCATAATATGTTTTAATCAATAAGCATTTCTGAAGGCTTTATTTTTATAGGCAATATTTAGACTTGTTCACCCTTAAATGTAACACCACAGCAGTGATGTTTGGAGCATTTATTTTCCTATGCTAAGCAAGTACAACCACACATACACAGAGGCAAAAGCAAAAGTCCACAATTAGAGATGTCAGACCTTGTTTAACTACAACTTAATTTAATCCATTTTATTTTATACAATTCTACATCTGGATCTCATTTTCTGTATTCCTGTAGGTATTCTGGGTCACTATTAAGAGCCCTTTCAAGTCAGCAAAGTTCAGCCAAGCCTACCTTAATCCCAAACCTTTAAAAGAAACAATAAAACACGGAAAGGGGGTGGAAGACGACGGAGAAGCCTAAACCAAAACGCTACTTTACCCCACCTCCTAATGCACCTGAAAAGTCAGAAGGGACCAGCCTCCCACCACGGATCCTACGCAGCACTTCCCGTTTTGGGGGCTGCCGGGGTGGGATTTTTAGCACCGCTCCCGCAAGCCCGGCGGGGGGAAGGGGAGGGCAGCAGGACCCGCGTCCCGCTCGCAGCCCCCCGCGGGCATCCCCTCACCTGCAGCGGGGATGCGGCTCTGCCCAGCATCAGCGCACCATCCCTCCGCCCGCCGCGGGCTCCGGCCGGCTCCGCCACCGCCTCCACGGGGGCCGCGGTGGGCAGCCGCCGGCTTTCGAGCCAATTTATTTAAACGGGAGGCAGCGGCGGGTTTGGAGAGGCAGGGCAGCGCCTTCCTGCGCCAATCAACTGGGAGACACGCGTGTTGCAATCCCATTCACGGCGGGAGCAGCACCAATTCAGCGTTTGACAACCTCTCCCCCCACGGCCCCCCCCCCCCCCACAACCCGCCCCGGCCTTATCCGCACCCCGGGAACTCCGTGAAACCCCGAATCCCCGATGGCCCCGGGGCACGCACCCCCGGGGCGGGGGGGAGGCCGCTCCGCCAGGACTTTCCCCCGGAGGAAAAGGGCACTTCTGGGCTGTTCCGAGGCAGCACCAGCAGAAAGCATCAATATTCCGCTCATCCGTCAGCTCCTGGACAGCAGGAGAGGCTGGAGAGCCCGTGAATTATGTAACGTGCCCTCCCGCCGCCGCGGGGAGATGCGCTGCGATGCCCCGCCGGCCGGGACGCCCCTCCCCGCACCCGGCGCTGCCGCCGCTGCCCTCCCGCGAGTCCCCCCCGCTCCCCGGCGCTCGCCCCTTCCCTCCCCGCCGCTCCCTCCTCCCCGGCGGGGTCCCCGGCGCGGTGCCCGCGGCGGTCGCAGGGCGGCGGCCGGAGCCCCCCGCGCCCGGCGGAGCGGAGCGGAGCGAGGGCCGGACCCCGCGGGGAGCGCCCGCCCGCCCGGCCGGCACCACAGCGCCCCCAGCCCCCGCCGCTCCGCGCCTGCACCGCCAGCCCGCCCGGCGCCCCCACACACACAAAGTCCCAGCACTCGGTAAACTTTCCCCCGGCTTCCCGGCGAGGGAAAAGCGGCGGGGGGACGCGGCGGCGGGAAGCGGGGCAAGGCGGCGAGGAGGGAGGGACGGGAGGAGGCGGGCGGGGGGATGAGCGGCAGCCGCCGGGAGTCCCGGCGCGCCCGGAGCCCCGCACGGCGCCGCCGGCGGGGGGGAGCGCGGAGCGGGGGAGAGCAGCCCGGGACGGAGCGGGCGAAGCGGCGGCGGCCCCGGCAGCGGCGGCTCCGGCGCCATCTTGGGCTGATCGATGAATTGAACAAAGAGGATCAATTTCCGATGGGGCCGGTGATCGATGGCGGGGGGGGCGGAGGGAGCGGAGCGCCGCGGCCGGGCGGAGCGGGGGGTTCCCTTTAGGCGGCGCGGGCCGGCAGCGGGAGGAGGAGGGGGAGGCCGGGCCCGAGGGAAGGCGGAGAAGGGAGGGAGGGGGGGGGTCCGGCGGCGCGGCCCGGCCGGTGCGGCGAGCGGGGGAGCCTGACCTGCAGCTGCTGTAAATCAAAGCGCTTCCAATATTGAAACATCGATCCCACATTGGCCGCCATCTTGAGACATATTGAGACAGAGTGAGCGGCTGATAGAGAGAGAGGGGCTGGAGTTCAGGAGCCGGGAGGGAGGGGGAGGGAGGGAGGGAGGGAGGGAGCCGGCGGGAGGGGGGAGGAGGGGCGGGGGGGCAAGGGGGAGGGAGGCGGGCAGGGAGCGCCCAAATCCCGGCCTGGAGCCCGCCCGGAACACGGACTCAGCCCGCGCGCTCGCGGGGGGGGGAAGGGGCGCCGCGCCCGCGCGCTCGCAGCGACCCCCCCGCAAACCCCCCCCGGCCCCGCACCCGGGGGGGACCCGCGGGCGGGGCGGGCGCGAGTCCCGCGGGGGCGGCGCGGGGTCCGGGCGGCGCCGGCAGCGCGGGGGGATGCGGGGACAGCGGGGCGGTGCGGGGCCGGCCGGGCAGTGCGGGGGGATGCGGGGACAGCGGGGCGGTGCGGGGCCGGCCGGGCAGTGCGGGGGGATGCGGGGCAGTGCGATGCGGACAGTGCGGGGGGTTGCGGGCCTGGCAATGTCGGGGGGATGCGGGGGCAACCGGGCGGTGCGGGGGGATGCGGGGGCAACCGGGCGGTGCGGGGCCGGGGGGGATGCGGGGCAGTGCGAGAGCGGGCGGTGCGGGGGGGTCGCGGAGCCCCCGCGGGCGTGGTGCGGGCTCAGGGCATCGCATCGCCCCGCAAATGGTGCCCGAAGCGGCGGCGGGGGGGGGTGGACGGGGGGGTGAGCCCGCTCGGGGAGCTGCGGGGCTAAAATTAGCCAAGTGCGGAGAGTTTGGGGGAAACAACAATGAAAAAGTGCATCGGGGGCAGCCGGTTCGCGCTGTCCGGGGCGGTCCGAGAGCGCCTGGAACGGGATTTCTTTGGCGCGGACAGGCGCTCCCTGCCAGGGCCGGTGCCGCCGGCCGCTGCCGACGGGGGACGGCTCGCACGGAGGTTGGAAAATGAGATCCCAGCCCCGCGCAGGATATCCATAGAAACGGAGATTAAAAGGATGAAATAAGTTATTTTGTTCTAAACAATAATGTTGCTATAAATACGAGCGTTTTCCTTGTTTCCTTCCTGAAAAGCGCAGGGCATTTTAGCAGGCTCATCTCCTGACAAAACAAACCAGTGTACGCAGCCAGGCTGCAGGTACCTTGCCCCCCGCGAAAGCATTCCTTGTTTTTACTGGGAAATGGGCAAAACTGCGGTCTGTACCTGTCCCCTCTGGAATCAATAAGCCGCACGGTATTTTTCCAAATACAGCTACTTTCGCTGTTTTGCACTTCATCTGTAAAAGGGAAATATATCTTCCCCCCGTAAGTGAGTGATTGTAGATTATTTCTCAAATTGTATTTGATCACCGAGTGAATTTAGTGCTCACTCAAGTCCGTGGGCTGACTGCTTGGAAATGGCTCTGTCTGTCTTTGGAGAAGTTACAGCAGACACAGCGGCAGAGCAATTGCCACAGATTATTTCCCAATCTGCTGCCGGCCTCCTTTGGAAGAGCACCATCAGTTCAGCCTCCATTTCCACTTTTTGCTGAGGCTGCTGCTTACAAAGATACTAATTGCGATGGCGGGTTTTATGTTAATGGGTTCCACGTAATGATCAGCCTGACAACTACAGACCTTCGGATTGTTAGTTGGCTGCACCGGGAATATAACTAATGGCATTTGGTTATGAAAATGCCACCCTCCACCTGCTGATGTGGACTGGGGGCCCACGGAGACCGAAATCCCAGAACCGTGGCTGCCGTGGGGCTGGACCCAGGGATGCCTTCGGAGAAGGAAATGCCTTTTCCTCCAGAAGTGCCACGCTTTGAGGGAGGGCAGCTCTTTGCTGGGATGACAGTGGGGAGGTGTGGGGTGCCCGGCCGGGGTCCCCCCTGCTGCAGGGAGAGGTTTTAGGGTGCTGTGGAGTGACGGCGTCCGCAGGGATGGAGCTGCGCGAGCCTCCGAATTCTGACTAACGCCGTAACCGGTTTGGTAGCTCTAAAATAGGATTTTAATCCTGGGAAGCATCATTTCACATTCCAGTGATCTAATCAAAATCCTTTCCTCTAATCTCTCCATGGTCCCCCCTTTCTAGATGAAAGAGGCTGGAGTTCCTGTCTTCACCCTTTCTCCGCTGCCTCCCTGTTCTACCAGTCGGTTCTGTGTCCAGGCAACTGCAAAAAGACATTTCAAAGGCTCCTGCCGTGCCATGTAGATGTTTTCTCTTGTTAGTTTGGACTGCAGGTGTGTGAGCCTCAAGGATGAAGTATCGTGGTGCTGTTTTAGGTTCGGGGCACACAGTCATGGCACAATAAATCACACGGTAACGCTCGGCTTTGAACACGCGCGCACAGAAAAGGGGAAAGAAAAAAGCATCTGACCTGAATCATTTTCTGGAAACACATCTGGTTAAAATCCAAAGTTTTAAATTGAGTAATATTTTAAAATACATTTGGTAGGTATTACATTACAGTGTTATATCTGGTAATATTTATGATACTAATGTGTTAAGCGGAGGTTTATATCTGTCAAGAAATATGAATGATTGTCATATGGGCTAACAAATGTATCCTGATATAAATAACATTTTATGATATTTTTAACGTTATTGTAGTCTTTCTTTTTGCAGAACTTACATTATTGCCAATTTGAAATAAAAGCTCTGTGGCTACATACCAAAGCTTTTAGCTATATAATTTTGAATAAGTATAAGCTGAGTTTGGGAAGTGCTGAGAAACCTTAACTGTGCCGGGAGACAAACGCTGAGCACCTATAATTCCTATTGTTTCCGTGAAGGATCAAGTCCCTTATTTGCCATTTTGTGTGGCAGCAAGCCCAAGGAAATCTTGTTTGACAGCTCAGTTTTCTCAAAGTGCTGTATTTCTTCGGGCTGGATTCTGCAGAGATCCTGCAGGCTACAGAGCTCCTTGGAGCAAATGGTGCTGTGCTCTGTGTTCCTGCTGAAACCTACCTGTGTAAGGTGGGAGAGGGATCTTGGAAAATTTGGTGCATCCTGGCAAGAAGACAGTTAGAATAAAGTTTTCTTGGATTATTATGTTTTGAGGAATCATTCTCATCTGCTCATTTGAGGAAGGATTTCCTAAGGTTAGATTTGATCTGTGTAAATGCTAACTTCTTTCAACGGGCACTAATAGAGTACTGAGAAAAGCACAGTGGATTTGAAGTTTAAATCTAAAATGATGGTAGTGACTAATAGTATTCACTAACGCTACATCCAAAATATTTGTAAGTATGTTGTACAGATTTCTTTTTAGAAACTAGGCAAAAATCAGATTAAAATTTGTTACCTAATAATGTCATAAAATGTCATTAATACAGATCTTTAATGAACATATTTGCACACTGGGCCATCACTGGCAATTGGTCTTGTTGTGCTTCACATGTCGTTGTCCAGAACACTGAAGGAAATGGACCCTTATTCCAAGGGTCCCAGACTGGTTGGGAACAATTCCTTGCACAGCTGCTCCCCTGGGTAGCAGTCTGCATTCATGAAAATATTTTGGACCACGAGTCCAGTTTTCATCACTGGACTTGTGCTTCTCTTTGCCTTAATCAATCTGCCTTATTCCCTTGTCCAGGACACTGAAAGAAGAGGTGTTGCTTCCCCCAGCAGCTGTAACTTTGAGTCTCTTCTCCATGGATTCTTTTTTTTTTATTCTTCTCATTTTCATTCAAATTGACTCCCAAATTTCTATCTTTTCCCATAAAAGACTTCTCCTTAGAGCCTTCTCTGTACCCCTGTCTGCTCCTTGTCCAGCTCCCTCCCTCCTCACTTCTATGGCTCTCATCTTTCTTCAATTGCTTCTTGTCCCCATCTGCCTGGCTCCACATGCCTGTGGCTGCTGGAAAGGAGCTTCTCATTCCGAAATCCCATCCCTCTCCACTGTGGAAGTGTCATTCTGCTCACTCTTAAACTGGATCTGAGAGCAAAGCTCCATCTATCCTTATTGTACTTAGTGAGACTCCGTAGGGATGGCAGAGAACAGAGGCAGCCAAACAGATAATTTATGTTCCTAGGAGATTTAGCCCAAATTAAGATCAAAACTCATATATGTCTTCCAAATCACAGATTTTTTTTTCCCCCCCAATTATTGTCATTGACTCCAATTCTGCTTGATTTATATGTGCTGTAGTAGCCAGAGGTTTTGCAGCATATAAATTGCCAGAGGATTTGGCTGGTGATGTGGACACAGTGACATGTGGAAGCTCAGGAAAGCCCCTGAGCAGAAAATGGTTGGAAGCTGGGAGAGTAGCAGGGAGAAGTATCCCATGTGCCTGCCCACGATTACCTGAGTGTCCAGCTGTGGTCGCTCAGCTGGATGGACCCTTGTTCTCAACCAACGTGGCAATTCCCCCATTCTTTGGGATTTTGGGAAAGTTTTAGCACAAACCATGTAGGTGGCAGCATACATGACCTAAGCATGAAATCCTAGGATTTCTATACCCTGTGAGTACTGCACAGCCACAGATACACACTGGTAGGAGGAAGAGAAAGCAATTCTCACAGAGGGCAGGGAAAGCAAAGTAAATGTAGGTGGTTTGGTTACTTGCTGTTTAACTCTGAAGACATTTGTAAGTATCCAACATAATCCACAACAGATTTCCTTTGAGGATTTGTGGATTAACCCCTACCAACACCAACCTGTGGTGGCACTGGGGGGGTCTCTCTGCCATGGACAGCAGGAGTTGTTGAAAACCCCAAGAGAACTCCCACACTGAATGTTTGCAACATTTCTGCAACATTTCTGTCAAATTGCTGCTTTCCTCACGGTGTATTCCATCCAGATGCCTGGTGGTGCTTTGGCCAACACCAGTGACAGCAGTGCCAGAGGCTGGCAGGGGAATTAGGGAAGAAAAGGACCGATCAGGTTATCCACTCCCTGGAGCTGGCAGTGAGTAACAGTTTGATACTGAGTTTATCTCAGGGTGTGGGTCACACCAGTTTTAACTTGTAAGCACTGTCCTTCTTGTCCTTTATCCCATGCACAGGATGGTATCCAAGCTGGGATTTTGCTTGGATGGGAGGTGTGTCGAGTCCTTTTTGACTGGTCTCACCCTCCCTCCAGCTCTCTTCTCTCCAGCTTAGGCTGTTCTGTTGATTTGGGAATTTATCTTCTCTGTCCTTTAAAGGGATCAGAAGACAAGTTAGTAGGTTATGTTCCCCAGCAAAATTCCCACCTTTTTTCTCACTTGGAACCTTTCACGTATTTTTTAACCTTTCACTGGTTTCTATTAGGGCTTTGGGGTTTGCACATCATTTTTTTTGTGGTATTTAACTCTTGCTATTCCTGTCATGAACTCTCACCCACTTCATGCAGCCACTTCGTCACTTCAGGTTCCTGCTCTTCCCATCTCTCCCTCCCTGCTCAGATCCATTTTGGCTCTGTGTTCTCCACCACTAACTGTCCCAGCCAGGTATTTCTCCCACTTTCTGCTCAGTCTTCAGGTCCAATATTCCACATATTACTTAAGAATAAGAAGCTGAAACCATCATTATTAGTTTAAATCCCTTTTTATGTTCTGAAGCTCACCTGTGCTGATTATACTTCTTTGTGCTGCTCACCCCATGGCAGGAGAGCTGGTTTAGTGACTGGCTGGGGACGGGAGCTGCAGTTGGATGCTGTCACAGGGCTTTTCATGGCATGAAACAACTCACTGGATCCTCCCTCAGTTCCTCCATTCTGTACAGCACCAGTGGTCACTGGGAGATCAAAATCTTGTGGTGACTGTTGGGGTTGCAGAAGAGAGAAACTGCAAGGAGGAGATGGAGGGAAATGTGTGACTAAAGCAGCTCAGAGCTGCTCCCTCACCTCCAGTTCCCCTTTCATTCCCTCCCGGACAGGGCCCATACCTTCAGCGCAAAGCTGAGCCGCCCTGGAGAAAGCAAAAGAAAGGTTTTCCTTTCACTTTCCAATCACAAGCGCTTCGTGTGGGACAGAAGGAAGGAACATCCCTCTGCTCCTTTCCTCCTGCTGGGTTTTTTGGTCCCCTTCTCCCAAGCCCAGGTCCCCCGTGGGTGCTGCCCGTGCCCGGGGTGCTCGGCCCGGCTCTGGCACACGGGGCCAAGGGCAGGGGCGGCTGTGCCTGGGCCCCCTTGCAACAGCAGGGAGGGGAGAGGAGAGGCAGAGGGTGGAAGGATGGGGAGACAGGTGTGTGCAGAGATCCTGGGGCAGCCTGGCTGTGCTGCTCTGCTGGGAGCCCAGCCCTGAGCAGAGCCCCCAGGCTCCCCGGAGCCACAGAGCACCTGGACTGGAGTGTTTGGGATGTTTGAGGTGGCTGTTCTCCCAATAATGAGTGTGAGATGGCGTTTTGGGAAGCACATCTTTTCTTAGAAACACAACTGTGACTGACTTAGCACAACTGTGGTTTTCTGCAAACACAACTGTGTTTGGGGTTGTTGCATGTGAATGCACGGGAAGGAGAAACAGTAATTCTGGATTAATGCAGAAAGGGAGAAAACAGACACCCTTAGAGGAAGCCCTAAGTTCACTGCAGCTGCCACACGCTGGCAAATCCAGTGCTGCACCCCACAGGAAATATTTTAGTGTGGAGAACCTCCTATTTGGAGAGAGATACCAGGGGCCTGTCATGACACACACAAATGAACCAAAGTGCTTGGGGTAGCACATCAATCCACTATTTCTTCAGTAATGTATATGAAATAAATTGGTTCTTTTTCCCCTGGTGTTGCATCATTTCCTATTTGGTGTCTGGCTGGTGACAGATTATCAAATAGGGGAGAAAAAAAAATCTATATAATTTTTTATATCTAAACATCACCTTCTTCTTTGGATAAAGAGATCCAGTCTTAATCTGGCCATGATTGTCCACATTTATGTGCTGGCCTTGTCTGCATCTGCTTGGCATTATTCTGGATTGGGGCTTTAACCTGCTACGAATCCAAAGAAATTATAGGGAATTGATGGGATCACTATGAAATTCCAGGGGTGTAGGCTAGTGCAGACCATATTCTATTAATCTTGTTGTGTTCTTTCTGTAAATAACAAGCTGGATTTGGCCCAACAAGAGTAAAACAAATTGAAAGCATTCATAAAGAGAAGTAAACGGGTTTAAGATGTAAGAGTAGCATATTGGTGGGCTGTCTCCAAGAATCCAGTTTTTAAAAGTACCAAAGCACATACAAAACTTAAGTTTAATTTGTTTTAAAGTGCCTGCTGTGTGGGACTGGCTGCTGAACCAGGGCCATAGGCATAAGACCTGCTTTCATGAAAGGATTAAATAAAAAAAAAAAAAAAATTAAAAACTGCAAGAAGGAGAAAAACGTTCAAGGGCAGCCAAGCTGGAGGAAACAAATATAATTTAGTTATGTGAAGTGTTTATAAATGCAGTTTATGAACATGTATGAAAAAGTAATTTTTTACTTTTCAGACTGCAAATGTCACACAGAAAAGAAACAATGGCTTATTTGTCCTTTTCGAGGATTTTTAGAGAATACTTTGCAGTTTGGCTGTTTATTTTGACCTGCTTTTTCCTTTTAATAGCTTATTATTCTGTTGATTATTTCACATTAGCTCTTTTTGTGTGCTCTCCCTTATTTGTGATTGATAGGGAAGCATTTACCTGGTTTATCTGAAAGTGGGAATTGATTTTAAATTTTGTTTAAAGTTTCAGACTTTCTTTTCACATACATAGACTACCAAATTTGATCTGTAAATCTCACTTTTTATGTCTCTTGCATCATCAGAATAAGTGTGAGATGACACAGAATGCCTGGAATTGCAATAATGCCATGTAACAGAACTGACTATCAAGCTGCATATATAGATTAGATTAATGCATAAATCTAATTTGATATTTTACATTACTGGGCTAATATTTTACAGATGTGATGCCAACTTGTTAAGTAAATGAAAATCACAGAGAGTCCAATTCTGAAAGGATTACTCAGGCAAAAATCCCTGAAGTCAAAGGGAGTATTGCCTGAACGAAGTCTGCAAAATTAGAACTAGAGCCATATTCCCCAAACAGACAAGCAGATTTATCTTCCAGATCTGCCCAGGAGTTGAATGAAAG